TATTTCTTATATCCAGTTTTAATCACTACCAGGACTGAATATATCAAAACATTTCTTAGAAAATCTTAGAAAATGTTCTATTTTTGAAATGCAATAAATGAAAATGTATATGAAATAGTGATGCCACAAATAGTGATTGTGCCGAATACCGAATATCCAGCTACGCTCTCAGCCGAAGCGCCAAATATTCGGCAACCGAACGTTGAGCAAAATATGTGTACATTTCGTGGTTACAACCTGTCTCATTGCGGTGGGTGCGGTAGCGACACTGCAAGCACATTTGTTTTATTTGCGAGTACATCGTGTCACGACATGCATTATTTGTTCATTGTTACATCAAATTGTGTTACTAATAGTCCTTATTACTAAAAAATATCATTGTTTGTATCACTTTATATGAAAACTGTTTGCCTACATCGGATAGCAGACCTTTACAAGTGGTGGTCAGCAAACGCAAAACAGTACTCAAGCCTGACAGAATTCGCTAAGATTTATCTATAGTCTCCCGGTAGTAGTGTATATAGTGATAGGCTATTTTCAGAAGCAGGTATAGTTTATGAGGAAAAGCACAATCGTTTGCTATCAACAAATGCTGAAAAAAATTTTTTTCATTCATCACAACTTACCACTGATAGATTTTAAGTACAGTGGGTGATCGGTTAACAAACAGATCACATAACGAACAAATCGGATAACGAACACTTTCATGAAAGATTTTTATGTTCGGACAACGAACACATAATCGGATAACAAACACTCTACAGAACAAACACAAGAAGAAGCGACATAAATTAATGAATACCGATTGGTCTTCCCTTGTCTTCGGAAAACAATTCGAAACTTTTCGGAGTGTGGGAGACGTTGACATCTACGCTCAAGCCGATATATACCGATCAGATATTATTCCTCCGAACTTTGAAACTCTTCCTTGTAATTTCAGCCTTTTATTTTTCTGACAAAATTATTTTATGTATTCGTGAGACTGTCGGGTAGGCACTCGTTAAGTTTTGCGTCTGTTTTTCTTTTCGAAAGGTGAGAGTATAATAGCAAAGGTAGAGAGTGGGCAGAAGATGCCTAATGCCTAATGTTGCTGGGCAGTATGGCGTAAACAGGTCTACAGTAGGCTGAAGTTCAATCTTATTTAAGAAACATACTGTATAATCAAGAAGACTCAAGCAGCTAAANAGAATGTTTAATAGATAGAAATATAGATCGTATGACGCGATTGGGACTTTAACAGAGCTGTAGAGCATATTGATAGGAACAATGGCTCATGGGAATTTGTAAAGAATGCCCACTAGGGGGCGTCCCGAGCTACTAGTATTTTATATTATACAGAGGAAATATACTGTCTTTTGATGATAAATTTATTTACTTGATGAACTGAATACATGTATAATGAACATACATGCACTTAAATAAGTATTTTATATTCATTTAAATGCAAATTGTTAATTAAACTACATAAATCTTTATAAAACCAAATGCAATTATTGGCTTAATTCACATTATACATGTCAGAATATTAATGATGAAATCATGATGTGCAATTCTCTTATCTATACCTTCTCCATTTATTTTTATGTATATCTTATTTTATTATTTTTACAAAATATTTCTTCTATCCAGTTTTAATCACTACCAGGACTGAATATATGAAAACATTTCTTAGAAAATCTTAGAAAATGTTCTATTTTTTAAATGCAATAAATGAAAATGTATATGAAATAGTGATGCCACAAATAGTGATTTTGCCAAATACCAAATATTCGGTTACGCTCTCAGCCGAAGCGCCAAATATTCGGCGACCGAACGTTCAGCAAAATATGTGTACATTTCGCGGTTACAACCTGTCTCATTGCGGTGGGTGCGGTAGTGACACCGCAGGCACATTTTTTTATTTGTGAGTAGATTGTGTCACAACATGAATTATTTGTTCATTGTTACATCAAATTGTGTTACTTATAGTCCTTATTACTAAAAAATATCACTGTTTGTATCACTTTATATGAAAACTGTTTGCCTACATCGAATGGCAGACCTTTACAAGTGGTGGTCAGCAAACGCAAAACAGTACCCAAGCCTGACAAAATTCGCTAAGATTTATCTATAGTCTCCCGGTAGTAGTGTATATAGTGATAGGCTATTTTCAGAAGCAGGTATAGTTTATGACGAAAAGCACAATCGTTTGCTATCAACAAATGCTGAAAAAATTGTTTTCATTCATCACAACTTACCACTGACAGATTTTAAGTATTAAATGTAATAATTTGTGATTAAAATAAATACATTTTTGAGTAATATGTGCATTTTCTTTCTCATGATTTGGTATTCGGTATTCGGCTGAATACTGAATATTAAAATAGTAGCTGAATAGGCCGAATAGCAGCCAAATATTCGTGGCATCTCTAATATGAAACTTGCATTGTTGGTTTATATGCANCATTTTACAGATTCTTTAACCCTTTCAAACAGAAAAAAAACACGACTAATAAAAACGCAAGACTATGTATGTATGTATTTTTATTATCATCAATACATATAAATAAAGGTAGTAAGAAAGTATATATTTTTTTATTTTGGGGGGGTCTCCAGAACCAATTGATCAAATTCCCATAGAAACCTATGGTAAATCAATAATCGGTTAACGAACAATTCGGATAGCGAACATAGTCTTGGAACGGATTATGTTTGTTAACCGATCACCCACTGTATTAAATGTAATAATTTGTGATTAAAATAAATACACGTTTTTGAGTAATATGTGCATTTTCTTTCTCATGATTTGGTATTCGGCCGAATACTGAATATAAAAAAAATAGGCCGAATACCGAATAGTAGCCAAATATTCGTGGCATCTCTAATATGAAACTTGCATTGTTGGTTTATATGCATATAATAATAAAAATTTTAAAATGTAAAATCTAAAATGTAACATAAAATAAATACAAATAACAATAAGCAAAATTGTGACATCACAATGCCAGGTTGCAATTTTTATTCATATTTTTAATTTATTTAATTTAAAATACAGTGAAATGTCCATTAACAGATACTTCCAAATAGTGGACCTCTACTTAACAGACACTTTTACAATCCCCAGACCCTTCAAATAGAACATCTATTATATTTACCTCTAAATAGCAGATACTCTAAATAATGGATGCCGTCATCCGAAATCTACCTTACGAAAACACAAAGTCTCGTCATCAATATTCTGAAGTAATTAATTACATACAAAATATTTTAAAACTAAAACAAAGAATCAGTTCAAATACTCTTTCAGAGAAAGAATTTTGACTGCAGGCATTGAATAAAGAATGACTGAAAATAGGAATTGGGGAGGAAGGCAGGTTGTAAAAAGCCAAACAATATTCATTATCTGTTAGAGAAGAATAATCTGGTTGAGATATCAATCACTATTTATCGTCATACATATTAATGTTATTAAACTTCTGTCTTATTGCGGAATTAAGCTTACTGTACCAAGAAACCATAAACATTTCCGAAGTTATTCATTCATTCGACAATAACTGTAGCATAGTAGTAACAAAAAAGAAACAGTTTTAAGGTTAAAACAATAGACAACAGCATTTATTTGGTGAAAGTTCAAAGATCATGTTACAAAGGCAATTTTCCAACCACTTTATTAAGTGTAGGAAGATATTTGGTTTTCTCAAATTTATGGCTTAATTTATGATCTTAAAAGCTTTGTGGTAGCTAAAGTAATTTTTAATAAATCATTTATTGAAAAAAAAAANCTCCCAAAAAACATTCAATATTGGCATAACATCTTACTACTGCTAAGAATTTGATATACGAGGTAAAGTTGTATGTAGAGTATATAATCATTAAAAAAAATTAATCATTGAATTTAAACAAAAAATAACAGCAGACTAGCTTAAGAAATAATGGGGTAAGAGAGCAAATGAGGATATAATTTTCAAAAAATGTTAAAGCAAAAACACATAATAAATTTATTTTAATAATTGATTCTATGTAATATTATATATTATCAAATAGCTGTCTTCATTATTCAATCTAATATAATTAAATGATAGAAGAGTATGATTTAAGTATGATAAATATGATTTTTAAATCAAAAGTTAACCAAAACTGNCAACCACTTTATTAAGTGTAGGAAGATATTTGGTTTTCTCAAATTTATGGCTTAATTTATGATCTTAAAAGCTTTGTGGTAGCTAAAGTAATTTTTAATAAATCATTTATTGAAAAAAAAAAAATGTTTGAAGAATACATTGACTTGATAACTACAAAGCAGACAAATCACTACAGTAGACCCCCCTATAACGTGGATTCGTATATCGTGGCAAAAAAATTGCGACCGTATTTGTATAAAGATTCTAACAGAGACTCGTAAAATGCAGTAAAATGTCATTGCCGACTTGTGTCGCGACAGGATTGGTCAAATCTAGACCAATAGTGGACGAGCAGCCGAACTATTTACAGGATACGGAGAGTTTAGGCGAGTAAGTTGAGTTTACTATCGTCTGTACAGTATATAAATTAGGTACTGTAAGTCTAATACAGTACTGTAATTTTATACATTTCTTGNATTAAAATAAAAACAATCATATATACATTTGTATTATAAAAGAAATTTTATAATTTAAACTCAAATCATAATGATTAAAATATAAAAAAGTTTGTGAAGTACAGACAATTTTGGAACTTTTGCATAAATAATCTGACAATTTTAACAAATCAGAATTAGATAAAGATAAAACTGACGATTTAAATTAATCTTATGAGCCTGCACGAAATGTCTTTGCTAGCTCAATTTTATCGTATTTACTTACCAACATCTCTGAAAAAAGTAAAAAGTGGAAATATTGAGATATCAAATTTGATGTATTGTGTGCCAAGTCCAAGCTGTAAGAAAGACAATTTATTATAAAATACACTTAAGTTGTTTATGTTTAGAAGACCCTTTATCAATTTATTTTTTATTAAATTTGACAAAATAATAATAAACCTACCCTTAGGAACCTTCCTCTTGAGTTCTCTTTTAGGTCTAAATAATAACGTCTATTGTCTTTTATCATGATTTCACTTTTGAGTTTCCCATCTTCTGGTAAATTATCAGGATTTGGTGGCCCTATAAATATATTCGTAAAAATTATTTTAAAAAATAATAATAAAATCACAAATAATCTAAATAAAATTTCATATCAAATGTGATAAAATGCTTAATCAGCATCATTATTGCAAATTATACTTGTTTGCTATTCACTCTCTCTCCACTTTCAATTACAATTACTCTAACAACATTTAAATTAATTATATTTTCTCAGAATCTTATGAATAACAAAAATACAGAGTTGTTTGCTTTTGTAAAAAATAAATTATTATATTGACAACTTAAAACATAAGTTACTTACTTCTGCTGTAAACCAAAACATTCACGAAAAACAGATCTAACAGAACCACAAGGGCAACAAAGTAACACTCAGAAAGACAGAATCCTAATCACTTACAATCCTAATCACTTACAAAAGAAAATCTACAAAGAGATCGCCAAAAGAAAAAAGCCTCCTTAGTATTTAGAAGATGTCCCACTATATTTAGAATGCTAAATAATGCAAAAGACATTCCACACCAAAACATATTAGCAGGAGTATACAGGATCTCTATAAAAGATTATACGTGTGATAAAGACTTAGTATATGTGGGATCCACAAAAAGATCGTTGGAGGTGAGGATCAAAGAACACAAAGCAGACATCCTACATAAAAAATATACTACAGCATTAGCACAATAGGCCACGGACCCTGACATACAAGCTGTATTTGACGAGGCAAAGATAATTTACACCACACAGCTAATACACCATTTGCGCTGGATGGAAGCGATATATATCTATAAAACAGCAAGAGAAGACAAGTGTATAAACAATAAGGATGAACTATCATTATCGATAGCATGGCAAACTCTTATTTACGACACTTGAGNAATAATTTTTGAAATTTTTAATTACATCGTTGTAAATTTAGACATAATAATGTAAATAAAGTTGATTTAAATATTTAGTTCGCACTTTTACACATACGATATTAAATTAGATGAATTTTATAATAGATTCTTAAACAGACTTGATACTTTTGTGGGACTGAAATTATGACCCCGCAGATAACGACACTCGGTTATAACGTCAAAAAACTGCCGGTCCCATGGATGACATTATAAGCAGGTTAAACTGCATTTGGTTTTCTCAAATTTATGGCTTAATTTATGATCTTAAAAGCTTTGTGGTAGCTAAAGTAATTTTTAATAAATCATTTATTGAAAAAAAAAATGTTTGAAGAATACATTGACTTGATAACTACAAAGCGCAGAAATCACTACAGTAGACCCCCCTATAATGCAGGTTCATATAATGTGGATTCGTATAAAGATGCTAACAGAGACTTGTAAAATGCAATAAAATGTCATCGCTGACTTGTGTCGCAACAGGATTGGTCGAATCTGGACCAATAGTGGACGAGCAGCCGAACTACTTACAGGCTACAGAGAGTTTAGGTGAGTAAGTTGAGTTTACTATCGTCTGTACAGTATATAAATTAGGTACTGTAAGTCTAATACAGTACTGTAATTTTATACATTTCTTGTGAAAGAAACATTTCTTATTCAATGACCATAAAAATTATTTCTATTAATGATGTCTCCAAAGTTCAATGAATTTTTCGCAGAAAAGTAACTTATTGGAAAATGCGCCCGCCGTTTGGGGAGCTGCTCCACGACGAAACCAAGCTTAAGCAATGGCGACGTCAAACGGTGCACACTCGGTAAGTAATCCTACAATTTTTTGTTTATAGCATAGTTTATACGGATTATTCCCAAAAAAATTATACGTGTTTTGGAAATGTTGAGTCGAATTAGTCTAGAATCGATTAATTTTATGGAAGAAAACCTTTCAAACAGCCGTAGTCCGTAAACTGCACATATGCCGGGCTGTGATTGGCTCATATATTTAAGGATTCCTACAACATGAAATTCTTATAAAGTGGAACGTATCTACCGCGTTATAGGGGGGTCGACTGTATATCAATTTTTATTAGTCACTTAGATTATAAATGATGTTATAAATGCAAGAATACCAAATACATTTCTTACCCCTTGAAGTGGCTAGCAAATTATTTCCTTCGTAAAACTTGACATTCGAACTCTCATTATCTAAACCCTTCTGTTCATAATAACAGTTTCATTTTTCTTTTGTTACTTCCCACTCAGGCCATTTTTGATGAATTAATAATTAATCAACGTTCATGTTTTGTTGTAATTTTTATGTTCTATTTAATTAAAACATTCTGTACAATCTGTTTGCTATTTGAAATTCAAATAAAATTATTTTTACAGCTGAAAAAGATATATATATATACACACAGTATATTATTTATTAATTATTCATACTTTACTATGTATACTTTTTGGTATTTTCACATTCCCAATGCAAATTTGATGTTTTCGTAATCCATCGTATTCTTCACCTTATACTGACCAGGTTAAAATATAATAATATGGCCACTGACATGTACTGTACCTCCGAATAGCGGACAAATTTCTTGGTCCCAATGGTATCCGCCATTCAGAGGTTATACTGTATATGCTCTCAATCTCAAATTAGTAGTGTTTTCCCCTGTACATCATACTTTTCCTGATTACAACAGAGTCATGCCAGTCATCTACGTAACTCAGTTCTGGAGAAAAGTTTTGAACTAAAATCACATGATTTATAATCTTGAACAGAAATTTGTATACAGTTAATTGGGGGCTCTTGACCCTAAGCTTTCCATATCTAGTCTCAACTTTCATCTATCTAACACCATTCTCAAGATTAAGGAAAGAAATGAATGACGAGTATTGGCCATTTTGAATAATTTGTAATGAAATTTTAGCAAACTAAATCTCAAAACCTGCAAAGCTTTTTAAGTTTGCAGGCTTTAAGCTCTTGAAGACACTTGAAATTACCCAACGCACATCAAAAACCTACTACATTTTTTGAAAGAAACCTAGCCAGCTATTTCAAAAATTGATCAATTAGAGCACCCTGTGATAAAATGCAAGACTTTTCAAAATGGCAAATTAAATTAAAAATGACTTTGTTCTTTGGAATTAAGCACAAAATTTCTATAGAGGAAGTTATCATACAGGAACACTTTTTTTTTATGGATAAAGTATCCCTGTATGATAAGTTCTCCATAGCAATTTTGTGCTTAATTTCGAAGAAGAAAAGAGAGAACAAGAGGCAATCAAGTACTAAAAATTACTTAATTCAGTCTTTTATTATTTTTGTTAGTTATTTTCAAAGGAAAAAGTGAGAAATAAAATGTTAATTATAAATGAATTTTAATCAGACAAATTCCTTTGTGCATACAACAGACTTTTGCTAATCTAGCCCACAATAATCCAGCTTACCCTACAGTGTGATTGTCTATGCACTTTTGTTTCAATGAAAACGTTAGTCATGTCACACATCCTGTCTTCTCGTTTACTTGAATTTCCTTTCTGTATACAGTATTGCATTTCAGTGTACTATATTATTTGCCTATCCTTCTTCAAAATGAATCCATACCTAAGGGCAACAGGTCACATCATTCATTACTTTAGGTCTACACACTTTCAGTAATCCGGTACTCTTGCTAATCTGATACACCTCTGTCAAGGAATAGCTGGATTAGCAAGTGTCTATCGTGCATTCAATGCTAGGATCTTAAATTTGAGAATATTTATTATTTGTAATTATATGGTTCTATAAAGATTTTAACCAATATTTTTCTATTCGTAAACAATATGTTGACTAACACGCCAAAATTAGTTAATAAACAAAAACAAAAACACTGAGTTCGGCGNTTAATATTTTTATTTCTTTTTTTAAACTGTCGTCTCAAGAATACAAGTTTTTCAAATTTTTGTCAAGCATTCTGCATCATCTAAGTGTTAAAATTTGTCCTGACAAAGAAAGCAGACATTCCACTGCAGCACTGCTGATGAAGAGAGCATTATATGCTAAAAATGCATTCTTTATATGCTGGTAGTTGTGTAACAAACTCAAATTAACATCCCTGTTTTTCAATTTTCCAATACTATGTAAAAATTTTTGCTAACCATTTTAATTTAAGAAGTAGAGTAACAACTTGATGGACATACAAAACAAAATAAAATAACTTACTGGAATATAAATGTCTTAAAATATACTTACTTACTTAAAATATAAAAATATTTACTGATCTTCCTAAAAGTCAAGTCATGTTTGTTTTGCTTAACTATATATGACCACTTGACAATTTATTGTCAGTTGGGTATCATAGAAAATAGTCACTTGATGATATTTTGTCATTTTGAAAGATGTTTAATTTTAATGAAAAATTTCTCTGTAACATAACATTATTGCATAAAATTGTGTCAGTTGTGTTCTACCATTTATCAGTTTATATGTAAATAAACTGAGAGGGAAGTTTATTTCCATTCAAGAGTATTAATGGAAATATGAAAAAAAAAAAGTAAAATATATATAACACTACAAACAAACGTTTATTTGTTTGTAGTGTTATATTTCCTGAATTTTTGTTGATTAAATTTTTACTCTTTGCCTGTGTGTATATTATATATTTATTTTTATATATAGGCCTATATACTGTATATATTTATTTATTTATATATTATTTACTTTACTTTCATTACAATTTTATTTTTTGCAAACAAAAGAAACACCTGCTGTGATCAATTTTTCTTTGTTCAGATATTTTTCTTTTTTACTTTTTACTACAGTTTGTAGTAAATAACTGATATTTTTCATCTGTTTACAATAGAAATTGAATTTTTCATTAATTTTTATGATGAGATGTCTAAGTTTAGCAAAGAGGTGTGAAACAGGTACATGTGAACCGTTTATTATAAACTGGAGTATTTTGGGAACAAGCAGGTCAATATTTATAAATATAATATCAAAATGTAAACAAAAATATTCTCCTTTGTGCTGGCATGTGGCCAAGAATAAAATATGTAATCGAAAAATGTTATTAAAGTGATGTAATTTTTTTTTATTATAAATTTAAGTCATTATATATGTATATTTTTTTCTAAGTATTTTATTTATTT